AGGGGGCGGCGGATCGAAGACGCCTACGGCGAATCACCGCCGCCCCCTGCCCTTGTGGAAGCGCCGATGTGGCCGAACGTTGAGGCCAGACCTGCCAAGCCATCGGACCACGTGTTCCCCGAATCGGTTTGGAAAGCCTTCGGGGAACGCGTGGGCATCTTGAATGTCATCTTGGCCGTCTTGGAGGCCTCTTGGGCGATCTTTCGACGATCTTTGGGGGCTCTTGGTTGGGCCGTCCTCGGGCCGTTTGTTTTTGGCCTCTTCTTGCCTTCCTGGAGGCCCTCTTGGGGGCCTCTTGGGCCGTCTTGGGCCAGCTTCGAGCCAACTTCGGCCATCTTGGTGGGTTCCTGGCACGTCTGACGCCGTCGGGAGCCGTCTTGGGGGCATTTCTGGGCCGACTTGGGGCCCTCTTGGGCCGTTCTGGGGCCATCTTGGAGGCCATCCAGTGGGTTCTTGGAGGCCATCTTGGGGCGTGTTGAAGGCCTCTTGGGGCCGTCTGGGGGCCCCTCTTGGAGCCATCCTTGGAGCCACTTGAGTCCGGCATGGGGCCTTTTGGGGGCCACTCGCTCCAGCGATCTTTCTTGGGGGCCTCTGGGCCCTCCTGGGCCGTCGGAGATGCCGAAAGAAACAACAATCCAGAATCCTGCGAACCTTCAGGAAATCAGCCGAAACATCTCTTCGGTTTCGGTCGGGCCCTCATTGGAGGACCTCCTGGGAGGCCTCTTGGTCCGTCTGGGAGGCCTCTGTGGGGCTTGGGGGCCTTTTTCGCCGTCTTGGACTCGCTCTTCTCAGTCTTGTTTTTTCTTTTTTTCTCTTGTTGGGTTGGGGGGTCCTTGGACTCACTCTCCTTGGGGCCGTCGTGGGGGCCTCTCGACTATCTTTGGGCGAACTGGAGGCATCTTGGAGCAATCCTCTTGGAGGCCATCTTGGGCCATCTTGGCCACCAAGCCATCGGACCATGTGTTCCCCGAATCGGTTTGGAAAGCCTTCGGGGAACACGTGGGCGTCTTGAAGGTCATCTTGGCCGTCTTGGAGGCCTCTTGGGCGATCTTTCGGCGATCTCTGGGGGCTCTTGGGCCGTCTCGGGCCGTCGGAAGGCCGAAAATAAGGAAATGACAAAATCCGTCAAAAGCCAAAGGAAACTCAATCAAGTTGCGAGTGGTAGTACTAGCGTTTCTATGCGCCACATGTGGATGTTTTGATAAATTCTGCCACAGGTCAAAGAAGGACAGCAAATGTGTGTGTGTGTGTGTGAGTGTGAGTGTGAGTGTGAGTGTGTGTGTGTGAGGGGCAGGTTTGGCTCGGAAGCAAGTCGTCTGAAGGCGACCCAAAACACCCCCGCACCAACCACATCACATGTCATAGTTTCCAAGCTTCTCTCCAGAGCCTGTGACCCGACGACCGTCGTCAGATGCATGTGCCCCAACAGAGGCCTCTGGCAACTTGCAAAACATGCAACCGCCGAGGGCTGGGGAACATTACTTGGCGAAGGACCCAGACATCTGCAGTTCTGATTACCGCAATTGTGAATCTTGTCTTCGGTGGAGCTCCATATGGGGCCACGGAGCGCTGCACTGGGTGGGGGGGCCGCATGCGGGCGGTAGCACTGGGACCGTCGGTGGACCTCCGTATAGGGCCACGAAGCGCTGTATTGGGTGGGGGGAACGCATGCGGGCGGTATCACTGGGGCCGTCGGTGGAGCTCCCTACGGGGCCACGAAACGCTGTATTGGGTCGGGGGACGCACGCGGGCGGCAGCACTGGGGCCGTCGGTGAAATTCCCTATGGGGCCGCGAAGCGCTGTTCCGGGTGGGGGGGACGCATGCGCGCGGTAGCATTGGGACCTCCGGTGGAGCTCCCTACGGGGCCACCAAGCGCTGTACAGGGGGGGACGCATGCGGGCGGTAGCGGTGGGGCCGTCGGTGTAGCTCCCTACGGGGCCACGAAGCGCTGTATTGGTTGCAGTGGACGTATGCGGGCAGTGGCATTGGAACCGATGGTGGAGCTCCCCTTGGGGCCACGAAGCGGTGTAATGGGTGGGGGGGGCGCATGCGGGCGGTGGCACTGGGACATTCGGTGGGGTTCCCGTTGGGGCCACGAAGCGTTGCATTGGGTGGTGGGGACGCGTGCGGGCGGTAGCACTGGGACCTTCTGTGGAGCTCCCAATGGGGCAACGAAGCGCTGTACTGGGTGTGGGGGACGCATGCGGGCGATAGCACTGGGGCCGTCGGTGTGGCTTGCGAAACGCTGTACTGCGCGGGGGGGACGCATGCGGCCGGTAGTATGTGGACCTTCGTTGGGGCTCCCCATGGTGCCACGAAACGCTGTACCGGGTGGGGGGGACGCATGCGGGCGGTAGCACTGGGACCTCCGGTGGAGCTCCCTGTGCTGAAACGGGCGATGACGATGATGAGAGGAGGAGGGAGGGGGCAGCGGGAGGAGGAGGAACGCGGGGACCACAGGTTGGTTGGACACAACATGTTATACAACCAGACACGAGTTTAACAAATACCCGCAAACTTGGGAAAACAGGGGAATAAAAACGGCTACGCACGCAGTTGCCCGGGACATTGCTCGAATCGCGCCATCGCGCACGTGCAATTGTGCAGTTCGACAAACGCAGAAGCGCTTTTTAAAACAAAAAACACGCGGAAACTATTCTATAAAAGCGAGGAAGGGCTTGTAAAGCGAATTGTAAAACCGGAAACGTCGCGATTCGCAATCGTCGCCGTGGGGGCGTGTCGACAAAGTCCACAAGCGTTCCGAAACACACGTAAAGATCATCATGGTGGGTGTAGAGTGGGTTGTTTGTGCCACATCGTCGGAGTTGTGTTTGTATCCGAGTGCAGCTCCAGCTTCGAAGCCGCGCCACTTGTTTTGATCAGCGTTTTCCATTGACTGCCTCGTGGTGTACTAGTGTGCTAAATAATTATCGGTGTAGAACAGCGTCCATCAGCTCCCTTTGGTGCCTATTGGCGTTCTTTGGCACCCATGACCGTCTATTCGTGGTGTCGCGGCGTTCGTGCTACGCTCATCCCGCGCCATTGCATATTACGAAGTCGTGAACAGGACCCGCTCGGTTCCCTTCTGATGCCATCGACGCACGATGGAGAGGAGGAGGACGCCGATGTTGCGTGGGAGGAGGAGGACGCACGAGTACGCGCACGAATGCGATGACGAGCGCGACGACGAGAACAATGACGACGGGGGCTGGGGAGCATAAGGAGTAAGATGGTGGAATTACTAACAAAGAGAGCTGAGGGTAAGAGAAAAGAAAAGATGAGAAGGGCAATGGGGATGAGGGAGAGTGTTCAGTCGTTGGTCCGAAAGATACCCGTACCCGGGGCCAGCCAAGGTGAGAGGGGCCGACCGGGGGACTGGGCGTTTGCTACTGTGCCCGGTCAGCTTGCCCCGCGCGCGCCAGTGCAGCATCCGCGCGTCAAGACGCAACGGCGCGCTCGATGGTTGGGTGTCTGATTGCAGCGACAAGCGCAGGTTTTTGTTAGGGACGTCTCGGGGCATCGTAGTGCGCGCGCGGCTCAAAGCCGCCCATATGTGGTGGCGCCTGTCCCAATCGATAAAGAGTTGCATTTCCTCGCTATCCTGGCAACCACTGCGTCTGGGCCTGCCCTGAGGAACGACGTTGCAATGTCGCGCCCCCACGGGGCCGCAGCGGCCACGTCGGGGACGGCTCTGGAGGGCATGATATGTGCTCGAGAGCGTTTTGGGCTTGCCTGAAACCACCGAAACATACCCGGACCTAGCCGGGGTGGAGCTGCGGCACCCCGGCTAGGTACGGGTATGGTTTGGGTTTTCATGGGGCAACCGTACCTAGCTGGGGTGATCCGCGGGCGGCCGTCCAAAGGGGCGGCTTCCGGCGACCTCGCCCAGGGCACAGATTCGCGATGTCTCTGCATCGAGCAATTCGCGATAGGGCGGTTGTCGCGCAATGACGTTCGCGCCAGAGTTGTTCGCATGCGCCCCCGAATGCGCGTTGACTCCTCAACGCCCGGATGTGTGTCTGGGGGCGCGCTTCCGCAGTAGCTGGTCCAGACGGTCTACATCGACAACAGCCAACGCAGGGTCGGGCTTTCCGACGATTCGAACGCGCGTGCGATCGGTGTTAACGTGCGCCCCGAGAAGACAGCGGTCTGTAATGCTCGAGCGGCTGTCGTTTCTACACTTGTGCAGCCGCCGTCAGCTGCGACGAACCGCCCCCCCGGCCCCTTTTTGCCACCCTGTCTAGGTAAGGGTACGGGTATCTTTCGCGCTCGAAATTTGGATTCAGTGTCAGGAGAAGAAAGCGGTGAAGCTGGGAGGAGTGTGGTGGAGGAGGTGGAGGAGGAGGAGGAGGAGAATGACGCGGATAACCAGGGAGAGTGGGAGGACGAGGAACCCATGAGGATCAGGACTTGGTTCAGGAACGCGAAGGGGGACCCCGGGAAACCCCGGCAGGATCCGGACGAGCAGGACGACAGGGCGGGGCAGGAGGAGCGGATGCGCCGTCAAGTGTGTTCCGCTATTCGCAACGTGCCTACTCGCAAAAGCCAGAGAAAAAAAACACGCGGCAGGAGTGTGGCGGAGTCGGGGGCCTTCGCCGCACCCTCCTCCTCCTCCTCCCTACTCTTCTCCTGCCTCCTCCTCCTCCTCACCTCTCACCTCCTACCTGCCTCCTCCTCCTCCTCTCCTCCCTTCCTCCCTCCTCCCTCCTCCTTCCTCCTCCTCCTCCTCGCCTCCCTCCTCCTCACCTCCTCCTTCTCACAACCATCCTCCTCGCTCCTCCTCCCTCCTCACTCCTCCTCCTTCCTCTCCTCCTCCCTCCCTCCTCTGTTGTGCCTTATTAACGTTTCCTCCCGTTCCTCCTCCTTCCATCCTCCTCCTCCCTCCTCATCCTCTCCCCTCCTCCTCCTCCTCCTCCTCCTCCTCCTCCTCCTCCTCCTCCTCCTCCTCCTCCTCCTCCTCTCCTCCTCGTTCCCCCCCCGGCGTGCGACCTCCTGCGAGGTGCTGGGAAAGCCAGGCGCGCGCGCGGCCTCGCCCTGCATCGCCAGGGGAGGGCCAGCGGGGGAGGCGGGGGGGAGGCTCGATGATCTCGGAGGAGGAAGAGTCAGGCGATCGCAAACATGGATGAAGGGGGCGTGGATTAGCGACGGTTCCCAGGTCCCGTTTCCATGTGAAATCGCGGATTTCCGCAGCCGAACGAGTTGGTGGCGGCCGCATTTTAGGGAGTGCGCCTCCCCCGATCCATGGATTTGGCGACCGCGCGCCAAATCCATGGATCGCTAATCCATGTTTGCGCGCCCCCGAAAGAGGTATCCATACGGCTACCCTTCCCGCGTGTTCCCCCTTTTGGGCTTCTGGGTGGTCCTCGCCTCCACCGCTGGATTCGTCTCGAAACTCTGGTCAGAACGCACTCCGGGAGAGTTTTGGGGAGTAGCGGTGTCGGTATTTGGATGTGTCCCCAGGATCGAACCGTTTCTCTCGCAAGCAGTGCCTGGGCCCACCTGGAGGTTCTGGCCTGTTCCCTCAAGCGACCTGACAGGATTTTGGAGGTTTTCGGCCGGTGCCCTGGCTGGCAGTGGGCGCCCGCGCGCTGGCTGGGATTTCCGGGGTCGTCGGCTGGTGCCCAGCCGAGGGCGCCACAATAGTTTGTACCATGCAGCTTGCACCACATAGCTTGCACCGCCTAGCTTCCGCCGACGTGGTGCAGGCTACAACCTGCACCACGTCGCCTGCACCAGATTGCCTGCACCACGACGCAGCCTGCACCACGCGGCCAAGAAGTCACGGTTTGGAGTTAAGGCTGGCAAGCAGTATTACGTATGTTCTGATCTCGCTTGGACTCGGATGGCCTCCGTGGACATCCGGGAGCCTCTGGAGGCTTGGGCACCTCTGGGGACCGCCTCGAGTGGAAGGAGCCGAGGGAGGGAGGAGAGAGGAGGCGCGAGGAGGAGGAGGAGGAGGAGGAGGAGGAGGAGGAGGAGGAGGAGGAGGAGGGATAAGGAGTCAGCAGACCGAATGAGGGCTCGGGATGAGGGAGGGCAGGGTGGGGGGTCGAGAGAGGAGGGAGGAGGGAGGAAGGCAGCGGGGCGGAGATGACGGAGGCGGAGGCTGGAGAGGGGACCTGGCAAGAGTGGACGTGGGGGAGACGGAAGCGGCCGATGAATCCCACAGCTGCGGATGGGGAGGGGATGGGGAGGTAGGCTTCAGAGAGGGAGGGGAGGGAGGAGGGAGGAGGAGGAGGGAAGCCTCTCTGAGAGGGGAGGGAGGAGGGAGGAGTAGGTAGGAGGAGGAGGAGGGAGGAGAGGGAGTGGCTGGGGATGGGGAGAGGAGGGAGGAGGGAGGCCTCTGAGAGGGGAGGCGAGGGAGGCTGCCAGGGCACCCGCCCACGGGCGCACGCCCTCTCTCGGGCCGCCCCCCTGCGGGTGGCTCTGCCGGCGGGGTGAGCAGGGGGGGGCTCGGCCCACAGCGGTGGTGAGCGGGGGCTGAGGCCGAAGCGCCCAGCAGGTTTCCTCCTCCTCCTCCTCCTCCTCCTCCTCCTCCTCCTCCTCCTCCTCCTCCTCCCTCTCTTTCTATTTCTTATTACCTCTTCCCTCTTCCTCCTCCTCCTCCTCCTCCTCCTCAACCTCCTCCTCCTCCTCCTTCTCGTCCTCCTCCTCCTTCTCCTCCTCCTCCTCCTTCTCCTCCTCCTCCTCCTCCTATTCCTTGGGTCGGAGTAGATGGGGCCGGAGGATCGCGCCACATCGCGGATGTGTCGCCGATGCATTTTCGATGTGGTTCGATGCGGAGCCTGTTGTTCTCCACGCCGACGTCGCCGCGTGCAACCGTCCGACCCCATCTACACGGACTCCATCTAGGAGGTCTCCACCAGCGCTGCGCGCGGTGACGGAGCTTCGGATTCTGCGCCAGAGGCGGCGGCGCCCAGTGAGGGAACAGTATTCGACAATTGTCTTGAGATTTCGAAAGGTTCCGAAACCAGGGAGGGTTTCCGTCAGCTGCTCCTCGTCGAGGGCGTTCCCGTGGTGCCCCGAACGGCCGCCAGAGAGCCGAGTTATGGCCCGAGAAACGGGGAGCTGAAGGTCAGGGGCAACGTTACGGGAGGATAGGCTCAGGGGGGGCTGCATCGACCCTCTAATCGCCCATTGATCATAGATCGCCGACCTGGGCCCGATAGCCGCTAGCCCACCCCGCCAAGGAACGTGCGGATTTGCTCTCGGGGGCGTATCGCCGATGTATCGCCGATTCCAGCTCGATGCTTCACCCCCTGAGCTGGTCCCCCCTATCGCTGAACGGGCCGCCCTTGGGAAGCTGCCCACCCCGCCAAGGGGGCCGGCGCAGGCCACCACATGGCCTCCTCGATGCCGAGTGGTTCCCGCGGCCGCTCCGCCGCGGTCGCTCCGGACGTGTGGCAGTGGCCGGAGTGGACCCGTGGAGCGCAAGGCGACGTTCCTCCACGTGGCGGGCGAGGTCGAGGCGCGCTGGCAGCGGGAGCGGCTGCCGCGCTCCAGGTCCGCCCCCGCCGTGCTGCGGGGCGGCGGCCCGGAGCCTGCGCAGGCGGGCGCGCAGCGCTCCAGGGCGCAGCGCAGGAGGCAGCAGAGGGTTGCGGGGAAGAAGATCGGGCCGGGCGAAAGGGGGGGATAGGTAAAGGGGGGGTACAACATTTCCTGCATGCAACTGGTTTCGGCCCCACCGAGGGGCCCATTCCTCGATACATGGCCGCCTGCGGCGCCGGGAAGCGCCGGGAAAATCAGCTACGTGAGCTGATTCTCAACCCCCGCCGTTGCTATCCCCCCCTTTCGCCCGGCCCGAGAAGAAGAGGCGCGAGGAGGCCGTGGCAGCCGCCGCCGGGCGGCCGCCCTGAGCCTGCGCCCTGGTCGCCTCTGCCTCTCGGAGGGCGCACGCCGCAGCAGTGCCTCGCGGGGCGGGCGACCCCGTCGGCGTGCTGCTGTTGACCTGGAGCGACAGGAGGACGTACACATACACTCATCCACGCCGGTTTCGAAAGTGGATTTGGGGGGAGGCATATTCATGTACTTGGTTGGGCGCGTACGTCCTCTGTGGGCTCCCTGCGGTGCAAGAGGTGCATGCTGTTGTTGTTCGCCTGTGCATGCGGGCATTTTGACGGTGTATGTTGACGGTGGATATCGTACAAAGACGCTTGAAGGTTGACGGTGAGTTCCAGCATGCGCTGTCGATTTGGCCTTGAAGCTTTGTTGCCAGTGCATGTTCGCCAGTGCATATGGGCCTTTTCGCCGGTGGATGCGACCTGTTCGTTGTTGAAAGATGACCCGCGGCGTAGATTAATGTTCTGTGCCTTCCCCGATGTCCCCCTCTTCCTCCGTACTCGCCGCGGCTTCTTCCACTTTGTCCTCTTGCTGTTCGCGTGGAGCGCGGGGGAGGTTTGCGTATCAGGATCGGACGGCTCTGGGCGGCACGAGTCCATGTGCAGCTTTCGTTCGGCAAACGAGCTGGTGCAAACCTTCAAGGTGCCAGATTCGTCTTACATGTCTTCCGCTTATGATTAGAACCTTCCCCTTCAGGTAACCCCTATGGGCGATAATGAAATACCCCCCTTAACCCCTGTATTTTCTTTTCCCCGACCACAAGGATCTATCTGTGGGGAAGGCGCGGGGGCCGAACTTGATAATCCACGGGGAAGTTGCGGGGACCGAAGCTGTTATCATATCGTGCTGATTAGCAACAGCATCAAACACGCTGAGCATGGCCATGGTGGTCTTGCCACACCAGCTTCCGCAATCACGAGCGTGCGGCAGGGTTGTGGGATTCTTTCTCACCGGTTCAGTTTCCCCACGTTACCACCGCACGGCAGGGGCATGGGATTCTCATGTGTTTAGCCGTTCGCGAGTCAGGAACGTGTGGCAGGGCCATAGGGACCGATTGGATATTTCATTGCGCGTGCGTTTTTCGAGCAGGCATATCATTGGAGTTCGTTAGTTAAGTGAATTACTTTTTTAGCGCACCCCTCACACGGTTCGCGGCCCTTCCTCTTTTCTTCCTCCTCTTCCCCCCCCCCCCTCTGCCCCCGCAGCCGCCCGGGCCCGAGCTTCCCCGAGTCTCCGAGACTCCAAGTTTTCGAGCCTCTCCCGGGCCCGAGCTTCGCCCCAGGGGCAGCGATATGGGGGGATAGGCATGCCTATGTATCGGCGATGCATCGCCGATGCATAGGCTTTTGGGGGGCATCGGTTTGGAATCTGCGATACATCGCCGATGCATCGGGCGCGCATCGCCGATGCATCGGCGATGCGTCGCCGATTCCAAGTCGGTGTCCCCCCCAATGCCTATCCCCTCGCATCGTTGCCCATGACTGCGTCGCGAGCCCCAGTGATGACCCAGCCCGCCGAGCGCGCAGCTGCCGCGAGCCTGCCCGTCGACGCGTTGAAGCACGCGGCGGCGCCGCGCCCGAGCTCGGACGATATTCTCGAGCGCATGGCCAAGCAAAACGAGAAGATCATCGACAAACTGAGTTACATCGCCGAGACAGTCAGCGTCGCCGAGATGCGCCAGTGCCAGTCGAGCGCGCAAGGCGCGGATGCAGCGTGGATGACGGACGAGCTGCTACTCCAAGGCCGAGAGCGCCTCGTGGTCGTCGAGCGCCCAGCAAGCCACGCTGGAGATGGTCTACCAAGGCGGGCGCCGAAAGAGCATCGGGCACGGCCGCATTTCCAACGGGAAGGACAAGAGGCGCATCGAGCTGGCCGCGGCGGCGTTCTTCAAGACCTACGTCGAGAAGAACGAGCACGTGTACGACATCTTTGAGCACCACGGAGAGCCGCCCGAGGACCTCTGTTGGCTCATGCCGACCTCCAAGGCCCAGCTGCAGGAGTTCGCCAAGAAGAGAGACATGGAGCTCGGCGCCGAGAAGGTCGAGAATCTGACCCACGGCTCCTACGCCGAGCGCATCGGGTTAGCCCTCCCAAGCATCCCCGCCGGGCTCCTCCACCTCCACGAGCTAGTGTTGCTGATGAACAAGAAGTTCGAGCCCGTCGAGCACTTGCGCGAGAGGCCCGCCGAAAGTGCCGAGATGCATTTCAACGTGATCCCACGCAGGGCCCGAGAGTATGTCAGGTGGTGCAACGAGACCTCCATGGTCTCGACGGCGCCCGGCGGGGTCGCCAAGGCTACGACCCTAGCCATCGTCAAGTGGCGCTGATCCATCCAGAAGACCGCGGGCGTGAGCTACGAGCTGCACGAGCACAGCTGCCAAGACGAGCGCGCCAAGCGGGATTATTCGGACACCGCCAAGCAGCAGAACCACGAGAAGGTGCTTCCCGAGAACCACATCAAGCTGCACTTCGACAAGTACGCGTCGACCCATGAAGAGCGCGACGAGCTCAACATGAACATGCCCGACGACGAGAGGAGCCAGGCCAACGCGATGGCCGAGGCAGAGCCCGCCTCGCCCATGCTCGTGGACGCATGAGCGCACGAGCTCCCCGAGCCAAGCGCTCCGTGGTTTTCGCCACTCGGGCGCCGTTTCAGGGGCGCGCTCGGGCCCCATCTGCTCTTCGAGCTCAAAGAGAGCTTTCGAGCACGCGCGAGCGGCGTTCCAAGCTGCGGGGCATGACTCCCCCCCTCTCGCCGAGTGATCCTCGATCAATCGTCGAGGAATCGCGCGGAGTTGACCCTGCATCTTCGGATCGATTATCCGAGATCTTGAGTCCGAGCATCTTCGGGCACCTTGGGTTCCAGATCCGAGGGTCGCCAAGCTTGGGCTCGAAGATCCCAGGTTCGCGATCCGAGGACCGTGGATCGAGGAACGAGCCTCGGCGACCCTCGGTCGCCACGTTGCCATCGGGCATGCTCGATCCCCCATCCTCGGGCCGAGGGCCCGAGTTCTTCAGCCCGAGCATCTGCGAGCACCTTTGGTCCTAAATCCGAGGGCCGCCAAGCTTGGGCTCGAAGTTCTCGGGTTCACATCCCGAGGCTCGAGGACAGAGCATGAGCGATGGTAGATTGCCCCCGCCGCCGTCATCGAGCCCACGCTGCCACCGAGCAGGCTCGACCCCCCATCCTCGGACCGAGGATCCGAGATCTTGGTCTCGAGCATTTGCGAGCACATCGGATCCTAGATCCGAGGGTCGCCACGCTTGGACTGGGGGATCTCGGGTTTGACATCTGGGGATCGCAGATCGCCCCTCTCGCCGTCCACGAGCCCGCACTGCCGCCGAGCAGTCTTCATCCTCCATCCTCGGATCGAGGCTCGGAGACCTTGATCTTGGGCATCTGCGAGCACGTCGGATCATAGATCCGATGGCCGCCAAGCTTGGGCGGGAAGACCTCGGGTTCGACATCCGAGGCTCGAGGGCCGAGCCCAGCGCTTCCCTGGTCGACCCCTGGCCCGCGCTGCCACCGAGCAGGCTCGATCCCCCATCCTCGGATCGAGGGCCCGAGATCTTGGTCGTGAGCATTTGCGAGCATCTCGGATCATAGATCCGATGGTCGCCAAGCTAAGACTGGGAGACCTTGGGTTCGACCTCCGAGGCTCGAGGGCCGAGCCCTGCGTTTCCCTGGTCGCCCTCGGGCCCGCGTTGCCACCGAGCGGGCTCGATCCTCCATCTTCGGATCGAGGATCCGAGATCATGGCCACGCTCGCGCGCGAGCACCTCGGGCCGCGCGCCCGAAGATCGCCAAGCTTAGACTCCAGGATCTCGGATCGCCGATCCGAGGGCCGGGTTGAGCCCCGACACCTGGCGGCCGCGCGCGCGCAAACGCGCGCGCGCGTCAACGCACGCGCGCAAAGGCTCACGCGCACGCGCACACGCGCACGCGAACGCGCACGCACTCACACATACACGCGCGCACGCACACTCGCACACCAGCACGCAAACACTGACAACATCAGCCGCGACAGCGACAGCAAACAGCAACGCAGCAGCAACGGCAGGGCATAACAGCACCAAGGCGAACAGCAGGGATGACAAACAACAGCTGCACACCCGCACGCCCGCAAACAGCAGCAAGACAAACGAGAAGAACACACGCAACAAGACAAACAGTAACAGCAGCAAGGCAAACAGCGCGAACATCGCACAACTGTGGCCAATTTTGGCTCAAGCATCCCAAGCCAGCTGGGGGCGCAGCGCACCATGGCCGAGACGCAGCGACCCGTGGCCGAGTCGGACAGCGACGATCGTCGGCCTGTCGCCGAGCGGTCGGACGACGAGAGCGTCGGCGAGTGGGCGAAGGGCGACGAGTGGACGAGGGAGACGGAACCCGCCGCGCTGGGGGGGGCGCCAGCAAACCCGAGCACAAGAGCCTCGAGGACAGGAAGCTTGACGACGAGAAGGCCACGCCCGAGGACAAGAAGCTCGACGACAAGAAGGCCACGCTCGAGGACGAGAAGCTCGACGACAACAAGCGCAGGCGCCTCTGCGAGCCCGAAACGGCGAGGCGTCGCGTTGACTCCCAGGCCTCGGCCTTGTGTTCCGACTCAGCCCCGAGGCGCCTCGCGAGCCGCTGGGAGCTCCGAGAGCGAGGTGCTTCCGGGCAGAGTGAGGACGAGGCGCCGGGAACTTATCCGCGAGGTGGCCCCCAGGCCCGAGGGCGCCCGGGAAAAAAAACGCACACGCACGCACGCGAGACAGGTGCCAGTGCAACAAAACCGCAGACACAAAGAACACAGGCACGCGCAAGCAACGGAACGCGCGCAAACAACAGCAGCGGCCACACAAACAACTGCAACCGCAACCAGCACAACAACATAACCACCAACAACATAACCACCAACAACAGCAGAACAACAGCACAGCACAACAGCAACGCCAACTACACCACCAACAACACAACAAACAAGAGCAGCAACAGCCAGCACAACAAACTCCACCAACAACAGCAGAAGCAACAGCAAGCACAACAGAAGCAACAGCAAACCACAACAGCAGCGAAACAAGCAATACCAACAAGCGAACACCAAGGAGCACCAGCGACAATCTAACGCCAACAACCTTCCGTAGCCACGTTGGCTCGAGGTTTTCTGTTTCGAGCTACTGCAGCTGCGCAGCGAGACTCCGATGGGCACGCCGACGAAGCAGACGAGCTCGCCAGGCCTCTGGGGGCCGCAGACCTCGACGCCCGCGGCGCCGAGCTCGCGCGAGAAGCTGAGGACCTCGCCTCGCGAGACGGCCGACTCTGCCACGAGCTTCCACAATCATTTCGAGGCCGCGAGGCTCGAGGCTGAGACGGCAGAGCAGGATCTCTCCCCGTTGCATGCCTTCAGTGTGTTCCATCTTTTCTTCTTGTTCTTTGCCTGTGAGTTTACGATTCGGTTCTTCATCCCATTCCTTTCCTGTTGCTTTTTTTCTTTCCGGATTTTGTTGTTTGTCATGTCCCCTCTTCTTCCCCCTTCTCCCCCTCGCCCCCCCCCCCCCCCCTCCCAGGGGCCGAATTTGTGCATCCCCGGGCTTTTCTAACACCCGCGGGGGCCCATCGCGCCCCTCGCCCCCCCCCCCCCCCTTAGAAAAATGCGCCCCCAAAAACGAATCGAGAGAATCCGTTTTCTATAGGT